GTCTCCTGGGGGAGTCAAATAATTGTTCTCTTGTTTTCCAGTGTTGATTAGAGGTGGGGGTAGAACCGGTCCATTTAGTTTTTTGCTCTTTCTTTGCACCCCCCGCCGGGCATCAGATCGTGCACGTCCGCGGGGACTCGGAGACCGACCTGGAGGCGCTCTTCAACGCCGTCATGAACCCCAAGACGGCTAACGTGCCCCAGACCGTGCCTATGAGGCTCCGGAAGCTGCCCGACTCCTTCTTCAAGCCGCCGGAGCCCAAATCCCACTCCCGACAGGTAACCTTGTCGCCCCTCTCCCCGCTTCCCCGTCGGGCGGGCCTCAGACCGGGGGGGCGCTCGGGAGCCGCGGCCGCCAGCTCTGGCCAGGGGAGGGGGTTGCGGGAGCTCTAGCTGGGGTGGGGGTCCCGCGGCGAAGTGGAGGAACTGGAGTCGTCCGCTCGGCCGCGGTGACCAGCTCCCCACTCCTCCCAGAGTCCGGGGCTGAGATTTGTTTTTCCTTTCGGAGTTTCTTTCTGCGGTTGCGGCCCCGGGGGGCGTGCTTTCCCTCCTTCCTTTCTTTCTTCCCGGGGTTCCCGGGAGGTTGGCGGGAGTGGAGGAGGGGTGGGGAGGAAGGAAGGGGGTGGGGGAGAGCCGAGCCTGGGCCGCGGTGGGCTTGCACAATGCGCGCGCCTCCGCGCGCTCCGCACCTTCGCTCCCGCCGGGGCCGGGCCGGGAAAGGGGGAGGGGGGCCTCTGGCATTTGTGTGTGGGTGAGTTGCCAGCGGCGGCCGAGTTTGTGAAGTTGAGCCCTGGGCCCCTTTCCTTTGCGGCCTCTCGGTCCACTTCAGTCTCCTGGGGGAGTCAAATAATTGTTCTCTTGTTTTCCAGTGTTGATTAGAGGTGGGGGTAGAACCGGTCCATTTAGTTTTTTGCTCTTTCTTTCCCTCCCCCCTACCCATTTCCCCTCCTCCTCCCCCTCCCGTAAGCATTTATTTTCCTCGCGGCTTAGGCGATTTCTGAATACAGGTTTCGGGCTTCCCCTGCCCAGACTTTCCTGGAAGTTGTTTATGGAGTTCTTTCACCCCTGCGCTTCCCTTGTGTCTTGGAACTTGGGTCGGCTCGCTCTTATCAAACTTAGTAGGTTGCGTGTTGGTTTCCCGATTGTAGGCTATTATTTACAGTCGGCTGAAAAGCTTTTGAATTAGCCACATCTGTACGTTGCGCAGGAACTGAGTTGCGCTTTACAGTACCGAGGTTTTAACACAAGCCTTTGATAATACACTGCGGGTTGACTCATAGGCAAAGTCCTGCCTAGTTCAACTGTGATTAAAAGTTAATGTTTGGGAAGCGATGACTAATTCTAGGATCGCCATTGCTTTTTAATTCTTATTGCGGATATGAACATGGCTGCTTTTCCACATACACAACGTTCGATTATTTTGCCAGCTTGATTCAGCATAGAAGTGAAACTATTTATAATGAGAGTGTTAACATTCCGATAGGTCCCAGTGGTTTTGTTTAGTGTAGGGTTCTCTCTTTTTCCTTCTTTTCTTTTTTCTTCTTTTTTTTTAAAAGAACTTGCTTCAGGCTAAACTTCAGCATAGGAACTTTGCCCAAAAGTTAATAGGTTTTCCAAATACTGCAATGTAGTTAGCCTACTCGGGCTGTAACTTGAGTGGAAAGAAGAGTTGCCGCCCCCACTCCCATTCTCTCTCCTATTTGCAGGCCTGTTGTATATTCTTCTGTCAGAGACCACAGGGTTTTGGAACTCAGAAAAACTCACTTAACCTGATGACAAAAACCCGGGTTAAGGAGGAGGAAGGAAGGAAAAACAATTTAGCTGCTTGCCTAAACAGTTCAATTTGTCAGAAATAGACTTAGGTATGCTTTTTTTCTTACCCCTGGAAGTTGGTTTATGGACTCATTGTAAGTAAATGTGTGTTGGCATGCACCCTGCAGACTACACGGTATTTTTTCAAAGTATACTACACATAGATTGGATCCCCCATTTTGTGACAAAAGAGTCACAACTGGAAAGTGTACTTTTTCTTCTAGTAGATAATTTTTACAAGAATTTATATCCAGCAGTTCTAAAACTCATAAACTATTATAGTTTTGTTTTTAATAAGTTTTTAACAAAGTGTTGCTCATCTGTAAATTGGACTTTTATTTCTGCTAGTGATTTTCTAAATCATACTTATTCTGATGGGACACTCAGAAAGGTATATCACTTTAAGGCATTAATGACTCTACTGAGTCCTTCCGGTTTCCTTACCTTTGTGAATCTAGGAAATTCTAACTTTTTGATAATCAAACTCTTAATTCTAATTAAACACATTTTAAAAACTATGCAAGATTGTGAATAGTAGAATGTAGGTTGTGAATACTATTGTTCACAACACAAACTGGTGACTATAAGTTGTTTTATATACATCCATTTTTCTGTCTTGAAAACTATGTTACAAACGAGAAAACAGGCATATGGAAGTTAACATACTTGTTCAGTGTCACACTAGCCAGCTTAGACTGGAACTCAGATCTTTGGGGTCTGAATGCAGAATTTTTTCTGCTTGTATAGAGTTGTGAATGTCTGTGAGTTCTTAAGTTATAATTGGACTGATAACCTCATTATCTTCTACATACAAAGATATAGTTGAGTTTTTTTCATCTTGTTCATTGTAGATGGCTTTTAAGAACATTTGGGCAGTTCAAATTTGTTGCTTTCATTAAAAATTGTGTAATTTGTTATGATTTCTTTATTGATGGCGTTTTATCATGATGGGAAAAAATGACGAGGGCTTGTTTTTTCTTGGGCTTGACCTAGAAAAAAAAATTAATTACTTAAAACCTAGTAAAAAATGCATATTGTTTGCATTATGTTTATACTTAGAACATTTTAGAACTTGGAAAAGCACCCATAACTGCAGTGACTTTTTAAAAATTAGGTTTTAAAATTCACTATTATTTTTGGAATGTTTTATTCATTCAGTACTAGTTGCCCTTACATGTCTGGTGTGTAGTAGGTGGAAATTCATTAGATGGACTGCTCATCACTAAAAGTAGAAATATAAAACTTATATTAAAATTATATAATATTAAAAGTATCTGTTTGAAAACCTGTGTTCTCCAGTGTCGAATATTAAATGTTGAAATTTTCCTTTGGCACTTAGATACTCGGCTGCAATTAAGCACTGACTGGGAAATTTAAAGGGACTCTCTAAAAAGTTGTGTTTCTTTTTTAATTTTTCATCTTAATATTCCTAATAGGCCAGTACTGATGCAGGCACTGCAGGAGCCCTGACTCCACAGCATGTTCGAGCTCATTCCTCTCCAGCTTCTCTGCAGTTGGGAGCTGTTTCTCCTGGGACACTGACCCCCACTGGAGTAGTCTCTGGTCCAGCAGCTACACCCACAGCTCAGCATCTTCGACAGTCTTCTTTTGAGATACCTGATGATGTACCTCTGCCAGCAGGTTGGGAGATGGCAAAGACATCTTCTGGTCAGAGATACTTCTTAAAGTAAGTGAAAATAATGGTGGGAGACAGTTATCTAAGAAAAATATGTATTGGAGGACACAGTAAAGTGGTGTCAAGATACAGAATATCATTTGTTTTTATGTTTTTTTAATATTTATGTTAAGCTCTAGAGCTCTGTTATATCTCCCATGTATATGTTTAAGTTTGGTATGACCTAAATACCTTTGTTAGCATGGGTAATATTTTGAGAGCTTTACTGAGTCTTGGTTCTGAGCCTCTTTATAATCTTTTCTTTTGTGGAAGTTTGGTTATTCTCATTTTGAGCTTGTGCCAAACCTGTTAATTAGCCTAGCACAAAACAGAGAGAATACCGTGAAAATTTTCAAATTCTGAGAATATTAGGGCTAGCAGCATCTTATGAAGTACGTGTGGTGCTACTTGTATCTTTTTAAATAAATATTTTATTGGTGGAGAACTACAAAATAAGTAGGGCTTTTTGGGGAGTCTAATTTTACAAAGTATTTTAAATTGTGAAATGACAAGCACTACAACTGAAGCTTGATGTGACTTACCAATATTTCCCCCCAAAATGTAAAGGGAAATATAAATTTTTAGGTTTCATACGCAGTCTCTCAGTGGCAAACTTCTTTCAAGCTAGTAGATCTTCACAATAGAAACCCTCCTCTCTGGGAAAACAAAAACATGACCATTGGGTTGTTTATTTTTTTATCAGTCTTTTTGTGTTTAACAAAATGGCAAAATTGCACTAGGCTGAAAAGATCTAAATAGTTTCTCTCCTCTAATTTTGAAATTACAGATAGGACCTCAATTTTTTTCTGGCTTGTTTGGATCAAGTATATATAAAATGTTGACTAAAACTAATTATTATAGACCGAAATTGATGTCTTTAAAAAAGCTCACTTAATAGTGTTTAATCAAGTTGAGATAATAAAGTGAAAAACAGTGTAAGTTTTTATTCAGATCTGTCTTGACAGTCTACTCCTAAGGCAAGTGTAACATTTATTTATCATATCAGGTAATACCATTAAGGATGTTTTGTTGTGTGAATCCTAATATGTGTTTTATATTGATTGTCTTCCAGGGTGGGTTGCTGCTTTGTAATGTAAGATAGAAAATTTCATGACAGACTTACAAAAGAGCAGAGGAAAAAGTTTGATCATGAAAAGTTCGTAGTTTTGTTTTGTTTTGTTTTGTTTCTTTTTTGCCCCCTTTCCTGCAACTTTTTGTTTTTCTTCTTCTTTTTAAAATTCATTTTCTGGTGTCCTGGTATCCATTTCAGAGGATCAGGTTTCAACCAGAACAGTAAAGGGCCTGAGACTGGAAAGTACACACAAGTCTGGCAAACTCATCTGCATGAGCAAGATCATTTGTTCTCAAGCAGACATCCAAAGTAAATGATTGAAAGAGCTGCTAGCTGTGAAGGATGTGTCTTGAAGGGGAAGGGAGTGGAAACAAACCAGGTTGTTAGGAAGAAAAAGAAAGGCTGCACTTTTTTGAACCTCTCCCTGCTGGGTCACATGCTGACCTGGGGAGATTTTTAAACAGCTTAATAGCCTGCTTGCCTTCTTTCTTTGGTGGATGCTGTGGCTAAAAGTATAAGGTTAAAGAGCAACATTTATGCTCTTCTTGTTAGTTCTTTGTATCTTGTAATAATTGCTTGTAGGTGATATCTGCCTACAGTTTCATTATTTTGAATGAATGATCTTTTTTTTTGAGCTGAAATCAGTATTCTAGATACAGTTGGCCTTCCGTATCTGTGGGTTCATTATTCATGGATTCAACCAATCTCTGATTGAAAATATTCAGAAAAAAAAATTACATCTTTGTTGACTAATGTACAAACTTTTTTCCTTGTCGTTATTTCCTAAATAATGTAACAACTATTTATATAGCATTTACATTGTATTATTATAAGTAATCTAGAGATGATATAAAGTATATGGGAGAATATGTATAGGTTATATGCAAATATTATGCCACTTTCTGTGAAAGACCAGAGTGTCTGTGGATTTTAGTACATGTAGGAGGTCCTGGAACCAATCCTTAACCACAGATGCTAAGGAATGACTATTCATTTTTCAATGTTTCCAGTGATTCTTCCTTTGTGAAGAAATGTTTGTCTTAAAGGTATTGATATATGTAGATGGATTAATGAAGGGTATATACCTTCCAGCCCCAGTCACCTCAGTTCACACCTGTCACCTATGGGCCTGTAAGGAAGATAAACCAGGCCAAAATAAATAAATCTCAAATTATGTCATATGAGAAAAGGTTGCAAGGGTAGAGAGATATTTACCTGGAAAAGAAAAAACTGGGAGGAGGAGAGATAAGACATGATTGTTGTTTCAGTGTTTCTGGGGAACTTTCATATGAGAGTAAGATTAGTCCTTATTATATAAGAAATGTGAGGAATTTTGATTCCTTGGAAGAATTTTCTTATATAAAACTTTTCAGAACTGGAAGAGTTTTCCTGGACAGGTAAATCTTGCTCAATAAATGTAGGTAAAATCATGGTTACTTGGTATCTGTCAGGGATTCTGTGCAGGCCCCTAAACCTTGGATGTGGAAGATGAATGCTGTGGGCTTATAAAATTTTGTATTATAAAGAGTATCTGCGTTATGAACAATATGCAATTTGGAGAAATGTTTTGAAATAAGATTATTTCACCTTCTCTAGTTAGCTACTTCCGTGATGTTATGGGCTGTATAGTTGTTATAACTTCTTTTTGTGTACTGAACAGATAAGTGAGGTTAATATCCTAACCATTAGTCAAAGATGATGATCAACTAAGCTTTTGGTGCCAAGTTTCTGTTGTCAAAAGTTCATTTTTATCCCAGTTTTGATGTTTTAAAATAGGGCTGTCTTTGTAATCAATATTTATATACTTTCCTCTTGTATCTAAAGAAGTTTGTTGTTGTCAGCCAGATGTAGAATGAGGATTTAAATTAGTTGCATGTTTTACACTTACTTCCAGAGTGAAACATTTTATTTTAATGCATCTTTTTAGATATTCGTTGGAACTGACTTTTAAGTTACAAGGTCTATAAGTTACAAGGTCTATAACTTACTGAGATTTGTATTTGGCATGAAGAACCTGACTATAAATGGTCCAGACAGGCAAGGCGATGTAATTTGAGAAAAAACTTAGAAATGTTAACTTAAGAAACTACCCAGTTGTTGCCTTGTGACCATAGATGATTGAGTTTTTGAAGTTAGTTGGCCTATCGTCTAGTTTCCAGGCAGCATGATTACTGAAAGATTATAAGCAGGCAATCATTGGTCATTTTAAAGCCCTCCTTAGGTCAGTGAGATCTTGTGGAGAAGACTCGTATCTTATTTTGGCAAGTGATATGGTGGAAGTATGGTGCTAGCTACATTTATCAGTGGCTTGTTTTCAAGCTCTGGGATGAATGTGAAGTATGTAAACAAGGCTTAGCCATGTAATGTTTGTTCTATTGGCATTTACTATTCAAAACCAATTTCTTTACCATTGCATTGAGCTTTCATTTTAAAAGAATTCATTGTCTTTATGACTCTGAGAGTTATTACCTTCTTCAGCTGTCTTATGGTTTTCCTACAGGAAATAGTTCTTCAAGTAGTTGGTCAACAACTTCCTATTTCTTTATAAGCTGCTGAATAACTTCCTGAATCAGTATTCTATAATATCTCTGGTTTCAAGGAGTGTTTTCACTTGCAAGTTTATGATATTGACTCTGATGCCTTGTAACTATTACCATGTTCAAAGACATGTGTTCGTATATATAATGTACCATGTAGGACCTTATAATTTGATTTAAGGAATCTGAATCAGTGATTTTAAAAGTTTGTACATTTGCATTGTTTTAATAATGTTCTAATAATTCTTAAAGGATAGTTTTGTTTCATTTCCATTGTTTATCATTTTCTGAATAACTGGCCACAATGTTTTTAGTCTGTGAAGATTCAGGGTTTTTTGTGGCTGTGATTTGATTAACTTATATTGAGCATGTTGGTATACAATTTTAAAAGGATATGTTTTTCAGAGATTTTTGACATTGTGTGGCATACAGCTTACCCATCTTCCAATATTAATTTGCCCTGTAGATATAATTGATCGCTATCTATAGGCTGATTCTTTCTTTGTTTCTTTTTTTGTTTTTCTTTTTGGAGACAGTCTTGCTCTGTCGCCCAGGCTGGAGTGCAGTGGCGCGATCTTGACTCACTGCAACCTCTGCCTCCTGGGTTCAAGTGATTCCCCTGCCCTGTCTCTACTAAAAACACAAAAATTAGCCAGGCGTGTTGGCGCACACCTGTAGTCCCAGCTACTCAGGAGGCTGAGGCAGGAGAATTGCTTGAACCTGGCAGGTGGAGGCTGCAGTGAGTTGAGATTGAGTCACTCCACACCAGCCTGGGCAACAGAGCCAGACTCTCTCTCAAAAAAAAAAAAAAACCACATACAGTGTATGTTGTTGTCATATACAGTGTACCTGATATGTATACAGTGTATTCAGAACATATAGAATATATCTTCGTAATAAAGATTAGATGTTTTAAAAAGGAAGTTTCATGAAGAATAAGGCTATGCTGTTTCTTTCTGTATCAAGTATAACCCAGTTTTCCCTTTAAAACTGAAAAGCTTGTAATTTTGCCATTAAATGTTAAGTTGCACACGTGCACATGTATACACAAACAAAAAGCCAGTTCAAATTGCAATCACAAAGTATTTCCCTATTTGAGGGAAGGCCAGTCTCTGGGTGTTTGTCTTGCTGTTGAGGCTGAGTGGAGAGAGAAGATGAAAGTACGCCCTCAGCTCTGGGGGGTGGGGGAGAGCTTACTTCTGCTCAGTGGGTGGGCATCACGGGGAAGAATGGCACACAGTGCCACAGTGATTTAGGGAGAAAACCCTGGAGAAACCGTATTCACTGGTGGCAGGAGAAAAACAGTTGGAAAATAGTAGATGTGACAGAGTAAATAGAACATAGAGATTAACATATTGCCTGGGAAAAGTAATGGAATCTTTTCAGTGTGAACTGAGAAAGAA